TTTCACAAATCAAAAAAAAAAGAAATATTGATTTTATAATTTAATAAATATAATATTGTTTTACTGTAATTTGATCTTTATTGTATTTTATTTACCTTTCTCAAGATGTGTAATGTATAAAAGATGCATGTATAAAATGGACCAATAGGTATATATTCAAGAACATAAGCATATATATATATATAAAAAAATATTGTACTTTACAAGTGTATAATAATCGTACATTTATTTGGCGCATACTAGTTGCGTCCCATGATTCAGATTGTTCACTAATTGGGTCCCATGTAAAATAGCCTACTGTACGAGTTGGGTCCTGAGTAAACCAGTCTACTGTACGAGTTGGGTCGCATAAAAAACATTTTCCTTCCCATTTTTACAGACTTAGGACTGTCTATAATAACATCTATAGTTACTACAGGTATGGTTAAAAATGTTTTGTTTCTAATTTTTTCCTGATTTACAATCGTTCGTTGTCCATCTGATTTTTAATGATTAATAATATTTTAATTTAAGGGTTGAAATTTATAAGACATAATTTTTACGAATTCGTAGCAATTAATTTTTAATATTTTTTTAAATAAATTATTTTAATAAATAATATTAATTTTTAATATTTTTTTTGTCATTTTTTCTTTTACGAATTCTTCCTTAGATATTATACAGTTTCTTCTTTTTCCTTCTGGACTTCTCATTTTAATATAAACAACTATTTGAATATTTTTTAAAACGTGTATAAATTGATATAAATTTGGGTGAGCAGAATAAAACATAGAATTGAAGTGTGAGTGAAAGGATTCACATGCGTTTGTAGTTCTTATTGTACTAGGCTTAAATTCAGACCATAATCTTGAAGGGAACTTAGCGTCAGAATGTATATAATTGTTTAATAAATATTCCGTGAATATTTGTAATCGTTCGTCATCTGGTTGATTATTATTTCAACGGCAGAAAATACCTAATCTAAAATATTATTCTCGTACTGTATATTACTACGATAAGATATCATTTTATTGCCAGAAAGTACGTCCTTAATCCATATTCGTACTTTATAATAATTATATAATATAGTTATTTTATATAATTGTATAAATACGTGGACCATGGACCCAATTCAAACGCATCATTTGATACGCCCGGAACCAATTCAGACAAAACATTTTATTCCCACGAACCCAATTCGTACAAAATTTAAAACTAGTATTATTTTCGGACCCAACTCGGATGCAGCCCATTTATTACCACCCCCCCCCTCATAAAATTAAGTCAAATACGCCACTGTGTCAAACTACTCAAAAGTGTATGCTATTATAATAATTAATTACTATTATATTTTTATTATTGTTTAAGTGCCTTTATTAAAACACGATTTTTAATATTAATATAATCATTGCTGATTTAAAATTCAAACACGTTAGAATTATAATATATATTTATATATATGTATGCATAATATACCAAATTACATATACTGTGTATAACTATCGTGTTTAACAGCATTGCATGGGTACCGTAAGGGTAGGTTATTGCATTATCACAGTTACACACTCGTTCGGTTTAGGAAATAGCCATTTGATCAAGTGCCCTAAGTACATTGCAGTTTGCTTGAGTGAGGCACTTATATATTCTGTGCCTGTATAATTCCGATATAGTGACTTTTATGCGAACTTTCTCCCCCGCCCCCATACACACATACACAAACACAGAAACACGAACGGAAGTTAACCATAATCACCCCTTATTTACTTACACCAACTCATTATTATAACAATTTGTAAAAAAGTGAACATGATTAGTACAAATAATTTATGCAGCATTCTTCTGACTTGCTCAACGCGTGGTTAGCAATTTTCTGGTCAATGAAACTATTTTTATTAAAACGATGTAAACACAGCTTTTGTTTATAACTCATTGTCGTTATATTTTATTCGAAAACTTGCACTATACTCGTATACTATATTCGAATGTAAAACTACATAATAATGCGTTTGTTGACCATACAAAAACAATAACATCAAGCATCTACAGAGAAATATCCATAAAGTAATCAAATACAATTAAACATGTGATGTATAAGATTTAAGTGTGGACATTTCGAATGCACAATATTTATTATTTCAACGTAATAAAAAACACTGATGTTTTCGAAGTTATCTTTTCAAACAAACTCTGTTTATCTGTTTTTCTTTAATTTCCTGCCAGAACAAACCGGAAAAAATCCCATTCGAAAAGAAAACTGTAATAGGTATACGAGTATGACCTTTTTTTTTCCAATTTCCTCTTGTAAGAAGTAACAAGAGTAATACTCAAAATTTTAGAAATAATAACGGTCGTCGTAATAATGTATTGAGATGGAATGTGTAAGCCACTATACCAACTCAAGCGTGGTTCGTATAATATAAAATGAAAGGAGCGTTTTAACTTCAGTAACACACATATCGAGCGAAATAAGACCAAAGTTTGATTGGTTAAAATCAAGACCAAAATATTATAACAGCAATATACTTAGGAGGTATTTTATAAAATATATATATGTCGGTACGTTTCTAAATTTTATCTGTAGAACCAAATATACATTTATATATTTTATAATACGTATAAATGGTCAATCCTTTTATCTATCCATCTAAAATCTATCTATAATACGAGTACACCCAATTAAAGCAAAGATAATAGTTATATTTTCAGTTTTTTGGGGTCTAAAATTATTTTTATTTTTCAACTTTTTACCAGACGTTCACTATCTATCGATCATTTTCGAATATATTCAATTATATCAATAAAAGCTGATTAAATTGTTTTATTCTTCTAATTATTTTTTTAGATTAAATAAATCGGTGCTGATTATTTTAAATTTTATTAACGTTTTGAATGTTATATTGTTCTAAAATACATATTACTAACATAAAATAATGCATGTTTTAAAATAATAATAAAAAAAAATAATGATAGAGCACATTTAAAAATAACCAAATTCATTACTCAGTTAATTTTTATGACATTATTGGGTATAAGTAATGATTTTTAGAGAACATTCCAATAGAAATATAATGCTCTTTAGCTAGTAACCGTTACCAATAGTGACCGTAATTCGAAATCGATTTACGATATTTAAATAGTAATAGTTTTAATTATATTTAATAACTCGTTAATAATCAATTTATCTGCCCAAAAAAATATTTTATGCTTATCTTTTTATTTAATTTTACCAATAAAATATGCGATTCTATCATATATAATTAAATTGTTTGCGAAAGCACAAATGTTAAATTAATTATTGATATTTTGATCTCTGTTAAGTTATATGTATTTTAGTTTTTTTAATTAAAACCGTTAATTAATTTACCAAGCTTTGGAGGTTATTAGTGAAGCGGTAAACCAAGCTTCTACTATTAATCGCTAACTTTTTTTTAGAAAAATTAAGCACTTATTTGCTCTTAATTTTAAAACAGGGGATTAAACATGATAAAACAAATAACTAAAAATTTGAACCGTAACATTACACGAAGCTGAAATGTACTGAAAAAAAAATATAAAAAAATGTAAGCTGTTAAAATTGAATAAACAAGTGGTCTTTTCATTTCACCTGATTTCTAATAAAACTTTTAATTAAATAATTAAAATAATTATAAAATATCTCCTTTGACTATTATATAATATGTTTACATATTGTAAATATATATATAATATAAAATATAAATTTACTATATATTATTGAATACACCAAATTACTTTTGCATCCAATGACAATAATTCGAAAAAAATTTAACTTTTGCTTTAAATAAATTCATTGATTAACGAGTAACGATAACGGAAATCAATTAAAACAAATTAAATTTAAAATAAACTTAACCGAAAAAACTACAGTAAAAACTGAAAACTGCCTAGGACGATATGGCGTAGATCTAAGATTCATTATACGTTTTAAACAAATTTTCAACTTATCCGGTATAAAACATGACCGTTTAGGTCTTTTTACGAGATAGCGTAAACATATATTACACTAATTAACTCTAATCGACTCATATGTATCTACGTATACACCGTGTTATGAACACATTGGTGTGCCCAATTACAAATAAAAAGAAATGTCACTCAGCTTAAAATCCACTATGATTTTTATATGAGAAACTCTAACAAAGTACAATAATAATTATAATATAGTAAAGCTCTGGAATGCTCTGTGTAATTATTGTAATATATTAATGCTCTGAAACGCTCTCTATATGACACCTCGAATGCTCCGTAAGTCCAAGACTGACTTGTGTGCAGTGCTGTAACGTATTTGAGTAGAAATATTTGAATAAAAGTATTCAAATACTTTTTTAAGTATTGAATAATTTTTTAAACACTTTTAGAACGAAGTATTTTCAATGATATTTTAAATACTTTTTCTATTGAATACTTATTTTTTTTCGAACATTTTATTTTTATTCGAAATATTTGGTTGGAAAAATACTGCCAACCATAATCAAAGCCCGAAGGTTTTGTATATATGTAAATACATTGTTGCATATGCCAGAACTTTTATATGTATAGGTACGTACGGGTTTATGTGCATACACTTTAGTTAATAGATCACAACGAAGACGGTAAAAAGTAAATAATAGGTGCTTAAAACGAGACGAAAAACGCAAGCTAGTCAAAAAGCTCTGGTAATCGTTGCATTCGATTGTTGATAAAAGGTACATTGTTAAATTGTAATTATTTTCGTGCAGTCCCATCGACTGATTAGTTTTGGTCACTCGAGTTTGGTTAACGCTATACCCCATGTGGTATACGATAATATGTCCGTAATATCTGTGTGTACTGCGTTGCAGAGTTTAACGTGATTCACGTGTACGACGCGCCAGTGTGGCGGCGCTGGTTGTCTCGCGTGCCACACGTGTACAATATCGTACGCGATTTACAGCGCTCGCGGCACGCGCACAGGACCGTACGAATATAACTCGTAAAAAAAATGAAAGACACGAGATAGCGGACAAACTTTCCTTTACCTAGTCACGCCGCTGTGGTCACGCTGCGCAGATTACGGATGCTGCGCGAACGATACGCATACGACTTTTTGATATAATTTCGCGTTACCGCGGTACCGTTCGCATCGTATACCGTGGTACACCGAGTTGGTACGCACGATATTTTCAATCCACTCGCGCGTTCTAATCATTTTACGCTACCAGAATAATTGTTATTCGCGTACTTATTACTCTGTTATTACTATACGTCTCGTTCGTTATACGTCTCCGAAAAACGATATGTTACTGCCGCGAACGGTACGCGTCATTCGTGAATTCGACGCACGCGTCCTTTTCGTCATCTCTATTATATTTCCATTACGTTATACCAATTGCGTACTGTTGTAACGCATTCGGAACGAAAGAGTTCCTTGCGCGCGTGCAAACGCGTACTGTTACGTTTATCTAATAAATGTCGCGGCGATTCAATCGAAATAGTTTCACACTTTTGTTGTCACATCGGTGAATTGGATTCATACGTGCCTTTTCTGATTCGGCGCCGAAAATATGCTTCGTGACAATATTTCGTGTCGTCAACGTTTCGCACGTGAACCCGAACCGAATCGTTCAAACGAAAAAATAAGCACTCATTCGATTTCGTAGGATTCCGTAGGAACTCGTTTTGTTGAACATTTTGGAAAAGAGTAAGTGCACCAAACTCGGGATGGCTGTCGGTAGACGTGTATTTGTACGAAATATTGCCGTTCACGACACGGGACGATGACCGGAAACAAAATACATTAACACTCTAACCGCGACAGCACTTGTTGTTTTATAAATCTTAACTGTTATTGTGCCCCGCAGGAGCTTAGTGAAGTTTGACAGCCGCCAAGTGGTAGCGTGAGTCTAGCCGATGCGGTGTTCGGCTTGCTGGGCGGCGGTATGGCTCCGCCTGCAGGCACGTCGTCCATGTTGCGATCCCGGCGTCGCGACGCCACCCTCAAGCCGAACCGGACGCTGGACAGGAGTGCGTCCCGGGGTATGTTGTACGAGAACGAGGAACTACGGTTGCGCACCATTAACATCAACGCAGAAGTCGAAAAAGGTACGTCTAAAAAAATAAACATCATTATATAAGAGTATACATACAATTGTCCAGAAACCCGATTTAAAATATTCGACGGTCGAGGCGAATCTATTGTTAACATTTGAGTTACCTCGACCGTCTCGATAACCTATACTGACAGACCGAGCCCGTCGCGAACAAATGCCGGAACAACGATCTCCCAAATGGCTAACCTCTCTAGATCCAACTTTGATGTATGTACATTTTAGCCCGCAGGTCCAAATCCTGGTTTCAACTTGTGTTTGGTGGTGCGGTCCGCAAGTGTAAAAGCAAATGCAATAAAATTGTAAAAATTAAGAGAGTTAAATAAAAAAGTCTTTAAATGTAACAACAAAAATTGTCAATTAAGGAAGCCAAAATAGATTAAAGCCTAAGATCCCAGGTCCAACTACACGTGAATATATCTATCCACTCATTGATTTGTAAATTAATAACTATACAACGCTACGTATATAAATTGCGAACCACCATTTCATAACGGTTTATTGGACGTGTGATTTTGTCCTCCATGAAATATAGGTACCAGATTATTACCTTCAAGTCTAACAATGGTTATTAAAATAAAAAATGTATACATACCACAAAATAAATATTATACAATTGCAATGAACTTAGGTTAGTCAAGGAATAATAGACTTTTATTTTTATTTTTTATTAATTTTTATTTATTTATTTATTTATCTATTTTATACGCTGCTATTGCTATGTATGTATATATATATTAGAATTCCACAGACAAATAAAATTGAACCTAATGTTGGTTGGCTAATAGCAACTTCCGTTCACTAATTGTTATTAATTGAAAGTGGAAGTGATATGTCACCCCATACACTGTAAGTCAGCGTCATTTTGTTGATATTGTTAAATTGAATTGAAAACACAAGGGGTAGCTATCGTGACAGGACAGTATTTTATATTGTGCGAGTAATAGATTAGTTTCACATAATTGAATATCAGATAATATGATAAAAATACGTATTCATCATTGCAAACTATTTGCAATAGAAGACATATATTACGGTAGTTTTCACGATTTTCGTGTATCATACTGTCGAAGCCTAAAATCTTGTTTATAATATTTATACATAAAAACCTAACCAAAATAAATAATTATTATACTCTGGAAAATAAAATATTAATTTCTCAATATAATTGATAAATTATTCAATAAGTATCATCGATTAATAAAATTTTAAAAGTTGAAAACTATGGGACTAAATGTCGTTGTTGTGTTTTTTGTTTGTTATGTTTTTTATTTTTATTTATATTGATAGACAATGAGCAATACGAACATATCAGCCTCATGGTGATAACCGAATACCGTTGTAATTCGTCGACCGATTACTGAATACAGTTGTTATTATTTTGTAATAATATAGTCGTTGACTTTTACTATGACTACGGACAGATTGATCGTAGAGTTGTTACTTATACTTTATTACAACGGCTGATGATGTTTAGTCGAATCTACTATTATCGGATAACTTTGTAGTTTTATGTGAATTTCAGGCCGGATAGGTCTTACAACCTTGGAAACAAAAAGAGACATGATATCCAATTTTTATTGCATCACGATTTTTTGTAGATAGAATTCCGCCATCATACATTTCATCGGCTACATATTCGATACTTCGGTGACACCACAATAAAAGTATTTTGTAATACAAGTCACGAAGTGTTATATAAACGACTATAGTTAATACAATAGAATATCTAAAAATATTATAATGGAACAAATATTTAAGGTAATATATTGGGTAATAAAACTTTTTTTTTTTTAATTTAAGTGATTTAAATATTTTAATTTGGGCTAGCAGAGAGGAAACGATGACATTTTTGATAAAACAAGTACCTTAAAATGCGTTTTTAAATATACTCCTGTAAAAAATGGCCTCATGCATTTTTTTTGTTTTTTTGATTTTATTATTTTTATTTTTGTGTTTTTTTATTTATATTTTTACGTGATTTTTTTCACGGAGAGTAATCGCTTGTTAGGTAGCCCTTATAAGGGCTTTTTTCACCGGAAAAGTCAAGAGGTCTAATGATGTTTGGCTGTCTGTTGGTTCTATTTCGTTTCATGCGTTCATCATAGGTTTCGCAGTTATAATAAACATTGGTTATACTGAGGACACGCTACTTACAGTCAGTGGCGGATTTAAAGGTTCAAATGAAGTCGGCAAATCCTAAAGAGGGGCCTCGTAATAAATGTATTACTAACATTCTTAGCCCCGTTTTACAAAGCTGCTTGTAAACGATATTACAGTTTGTATTATAATTTTTTTTTTGGTAAAATTTAAAAAAAATTAACTATAATTTTTTTGGGCTTCAGTAAATAATTTAGGAAGGGGCCCCGTCGGCATTCGCCGACTAAATAACCGTTAAATCCGCCACTGCTTACAGGGGATACCTCGTGAAGGTATAGGATCATCCCCCTCCCATTCGCTCTTAATAAAAAAACGCACTGGACCCTGAAAAACGTCGGGCCGACATTTGTTTTAATTTTTTTTTAAATTCTGCGAATTTTACGAATACCGAACGATTTCCTCATTACATTTCGGGACGGTAGTTCATGCCGGGGATTCGAGCGTTGACATTGCGCTCGGATTCCATTTACAACACCTATATACATGCGGTGAACTGGATTTCGTATAAGGTCGACGTATTGTGGTAATCATTTTGCGCGCGTTTGGATCGTTCGGTAACGTCCGCACGATGTATACGCGCTCGGTAAAATATCGCGAAACTCATGACCGCGGTGGCGAAGAACTAATTAGACCCGACGTGTGCGGCACGCGACCAGGCGGTGAGAAGCGACCGCGCGTCACGCGACGTTTGCCGGCACAGTTCGGTTGATTGGTCACGCGCGGGACCGCGAAATCTCGTGTGATCGTTTGCCAAAAACGCGCACATCACCGTCCGTCACAACACCGTGACATTTTCGCGTCCGTCCGCCCACGTAGTACCGATAATTGCCGACGGCGAAGATCGGCCGTGGACACCGCGCGATCCCTTGAAAAACTACCGATTACGCGCCCAGGGGTGATGACGAAACGATAATAACGCGGCCGACAAAATTGTTCTAAAGACGTTTTACGTCGTGGGGACATGTTAGGGATAATTTTTCATTGGGTGGGTGGGTGGGGCAAAATCTGTACTCCTGATTTTGACGAACCATCGTCAGAACTTTCACCGAAGAACGTTTGCTGTTCTAAAAGCATAAAATATTTTAATAAATACGAAACTAACGATCAACAGAATCAACTATAAACTGTAAAGCACAATAAAAATAAACTGTTGGCACAAATGATTGATCGTCGATTATAACTGTAAGTAATAGGTTTTTCTTTACTATCAATAACTCAAAACGTGGTGTTGATCTGTTAGAAACTTTTTTTTAGTAAAAATTACTGCATTCAAATTTGAAATTTACACCTGGTATTTATTCCTTCGAAAAATTTTATGAACATTTTCGTTTTATTGAATTCCATTTATTTTGCTAATCTTTATAATTTTTCTTTTTTTCTTTTTTTTATTTTTATATATTTTAGTTTTTTACAAGCTATTTTTAATAGATATTACAAAGGTAACCTAATTTTTTTTTTATGGAATATGAAAATGTTTTTTTGTGAGATTTTATATGCATTTGAAGGGTGTTATTATGAGGATTTTAAATGTTACTAAAATATTATTTTTTTCACTTTTTATTTGTATTATACTCAAATATTATGAACATTTTAAGTAAAAATCAGTTGGATCAGTTTAACAAAATATTATTTTACTTTTAAATTAAATAAAAATACCAATACTGTCGTACTTAACTTGTAATTATCAATACAAACAACTTTTTTTTTCATAGAAATACATAAATCTCATGCAATCTCTTGCAATGTCATGGTACAATGAACAAATTAAAAATTTCATTTTTTTGTTTTAAATACAATTTACATTTAATTAATAATTCTCATTTTATTTATTATTATATTAATAGTCTATAATATTTTGTTTTTATTTTGTTAACCCTTTGCAATAAGGTTTGAAAAATTTAATTATATATTACAAACCATTAGTAAATCGGTATGCTGATATGTCACTAAATAGTATAGTCGGCTTTAAAAATATTGATGAGAACTGAAAATCAAAAATTATTATAAAATTTCATGAAAATGTATAATGTGATTTAATGGAAATACTGATTAACAAATGTTTTATAAAAGATTATTAGATTATTTATAATCTGATTGTTGTTTGTACTACTATATTAACATTAAATATTGACATGCTTAATTTGTATTTTCATGCTTTTATAATATAAACTGTATACCATTTTGTAGATAATTTAATGTTTTTTATTAATTTAATTAAACTACACATTTACAGTATGAATTAAATTATTTTAATTAAGTATTCCATACAATTATAACACTTATATCTGTTAGCATGAAATCACAAATTATATTTGACATTATTTATTTTTATGCGTGTAGGAAAAGTTAACTTACGAAAAACATCGTTAACATCAATATTATTGTTCATGTTTGTACTTTCTTTTGTTGAAATAACATACTTCCTAAACAAATGTAAGAATACATTTAAATATTTAAAAAAAAACTCAACCGAGCGTAAAAAAAGTTCCTCGTGTAGGTTGTTATTCGAATCAACTAAAAACATATAGCAGCTGTTTCGGTAGACGTTATTGCTAAACATTTGGTGAGACATTACTCGACTAGGAAAAAAACATTTTTATTGAAAAAGTATGTCGATAAAATAAAGTTTACTAAATACATTTTAAATTTCATCTTCAAATAAAATATTGTAAAAAAACGTTAAAACACTATACTTAATATTTCAATTGTGCACAGGCCGTAAATCACCGTTCAACGTGGCATGCAAATAAATTAGCTAATTTAATACTAGATATTATATTGTAACGTAAAAGTTATGTGAAATATAAGCCACCCAGTGAAAACCACGAAGTGTATAACAATAATATAATATAAATTATTAAAGTAAACACAATTTGAATGTATACTAAACGAGAGATTGAATGCAATCTATTTAAATAAGGCCTCTCTCATCGATTATACTAATTATTTGAATGATATTAAGACATTAAAAAATTTGCATTATTTGATGTATGAAGTTGTATCATTATACGCAGACTGATGTACTGTATACTGTTTCAGGTCAAAATTATATAAAAAAATTACGCCGGGAAAATGAACAACTAAAGAGAGAGATATGGAATCTAAGAGAAGAATATGAACGACTGGAAAATTATATAAAAAGTAGGGAACAATCAGAAAATGAAGAGGTAATACTCATTATATTTATTATACTTATTTCAGAAAATAAATAGAACAAAATAACACTTATACTTTAGTACTATTAAACAATATACATAATAGTATAATACTATTAAACATTATCGTTTTCGTATTTAAAATAACGAATAAAATAAACCATAAAGTTTATATTTGGTACGATAGTATATTTGATGACTTGTGGTGTTTAGTAAAGTTTAAAATAACTTTTATTAGTTTTAAACGATTCCTTAGTAAAAAGTAGTAGTCACAGTGTCCGAACCGTATATTGACTTCTTACTTATCGCATTAAACAAACGTAAAATTAACGATTAACGTATGTATGTACATAAATACCAATATATATTGTATACAAAATACAAAGACTATTGTGACAAAACATTCATACTGCTGGCAAAACGTATATAAAATTCAATTTATCAATGTAAACACCTATATGTGTACGTACTTAAAATGACTCATGAAGTGTGAGTATTTAGATAGGTTAAACTTAAAATGCACACTTTCCTTCAGTAAAAATATTATAAACAAAATGTTAAAAGAATATATTAATTATAACTACCTATTTAACAATTCCCTATGTTCGACAGTTTTTACGCTAAAATATTTTTATTTTCACTTATTATTATAATTTACCACCTTATACCTGTAATGTATATTTTTTTTTAAAAAAATTAACTTCTAATTTCAAATAAAACATGCTTTGCAATTCTCAAGAGAGCTTTTCGTTATTAATATTAGGGTGTAGATCTTATTTCAAATTATAAATCTAGCTCTTTGTTAGTTGTATACATTTTATTATTATATCGCCATTATTTTATTTTGCTTTTATCAAAGTAAATTAGAGTTTAATCATGATAGTGACTTAAAAATAAATGAAGATTGAAATTGAATTTTTAGCAAATTAAAAAGAAAAAAATTGAATTTTTTAGTTTAAAAGACACAAAGGCAATCAACAAAATATAAGTCTTAAAGTTATATTAGTTGACATATACATTATTTACTGGTTTATTGATGTGCTGTACTTTAAAGAAATCGATGGTCAAGTATAAAAATAATATCATTTCTATGTCACCTAACTCTTATGTTGAGGTTAGACCACTTTTTAAAATTATGCCATTGGCTGATGGTCCAGATTTGCTCAATACAAATGAATGGGTAACAAAAGACGACCAAGGTTTAAGACTATTATATTTTCGACTGGAACCGATACGTATTCAGAAATTTGGCGCCACATCATATAACAGTCTGAAAGATACAGTTACCATATTCAAATTTAAACTATCTCAATAAATCATTTAAAAAAAAATATTGTTTAATATTGAAATATTTCATATTTATCAAATAAACACTACTCAAATCATTTCAATACTCAGGTTATAACTATTTTAATTTCGCAAAATAATTGTATTATACTAAGTTAATATTTTACGTTTTACAATAAGGTTTATCGTATTCATTGATGTTGGTAAAATTATATAAACTAAAAAATATTTGCTTTACTAATATTTGTATTCACTCCAAAAATCCTATGTTATATTTGTTTATACGATGTATTTTTTTATGCAATTGAAAAATAAAACTATTACATTTCGTAAATAAAGCTATTGATTCATAGTTTTAAATTTAGACATTATGAGTCAATAACCATTTCATTGTATATATATATGATATAAAATACATTTAATGAACAAAATCAATATTTATTATTTAATTTTTGTTTTAAACTTCAATAAACTTATAGAACTTAATAAAAATAAAAGTTAAAATATTTTAAAACGCAATAAAAACAACCAGTATCACAACAGTACTTGTAACATTTTAAACACAAGCAACTATATATTTTACGCATTTAATTATTATTATTTACTGTTGTGTCTTAATAATACAGCATGTCATCATGAATATATAAATAAACAAATTGTTAAATTCATTTATGATTGAAATTTTTTAAATTTTTTAAAATAATGATAAAAATATTTTACCATATTTTATAAAGATTCGTTACTCTAAAACTGTAGACAGTGAAAAATTAATTTTTATTTTGTTAGATTTGTCAATGCATAACTGTAATTAAGTATTTAAGTATTTCAAATACTGTCTATGTAAATATGTTAATACAAAAAAAAAAAACAAAATTATACTTCTATTTCATTAATAAAGTTAAAATATCAATTATTTCGTATTCTGTATATCGTTTTTCTATCTGATGTATAATACAATATATATTCGTGCGCTATCTAACGGTAAAAATATAATTCGTTCATAGATATGCATTACTAAAATAGTCAAATAAGCAAATGTTCACATATTATATACATATAGTTCTATAATTTAACAGGTGTTGTGTATTACACTTGCCAATAATTGTCTTAAATTTTAGCGTGACAATTTTTTATCATACTTGTAAAAATGACCGGGGAGCAATCGATAAATTGGTTACATAAATATTTCAACGAATCACCTATAAACGAAATAGCAACATGCATGTGCTGAATTTGTAGGGAGTAACGTTTATAGGTCACGATCTATTTCCGTGGCCGAGCCATTTGTTTTATTCATCGTCGAGTAAAATCAAAAACAAATCGTATCAACGCTTTCAGAACCGTAAAATATCGATTTGACCGCGAGTAAACACGGCAATATCCACTTGAATATCGTCCCCTCTGTTCCGCGTGATGATACGATATTAAGATGAACGGGCGTGTCAGTCGCGTTCAACAATTATTCGTATTGCAAGTGCATCGTGTGCGAGTGAAAAATGTTGAATGCGTACGGGACACGCTGCTAACCGTACGGTATCTATACCGCTTACGTTATAATGATGTGGAATTTGCAGGAAGGCGAGGACGGTGAGGGCGGTGAAGTAGTGATCGCGGATGAACCGATAGACGTCGGGGCTGAGACGGCAGTGTCATTGGAGACGGTGGTCGAAGAGGACGACGACGAAGACCAACCGTTGCAAGACAAACAGGACCGGACCATCGTGCACGAGTCGGTCAACAGCAGTGAAAACTCGAAGCTACGGAGCTCAACTGTTCCGGTGGTACGTCGACCATGTGTCATTTATCCATTTAGGAACGATTTAGCATTTATTGCGTACACTGGTGTACGCACCTAGTAAAAAAAAAAACTAAATTCGCAGTAAACGATAACACAACGACGCGTGTGGTACTTAATTCTCAATAAACATTTAACTATCCATCGCCGGAATTGGTGCGTTTAAAATACATACCGTATGCGATGTTAAAATCGCCTATTCTCGCCAACGCTCAAATAAATAAAAGCTTTGTCCGGAGTTCAAAAGTCGAGTTAACGTACGATCCATACGGTCTGTACTGCAGTCTCGGTGTCGTGGTTTCTATATAGATCATTACGGAATCGGACATAAATATCCCTAACACCAACCAATGCGGTTTTCTGAAGTTTTCGACCGGACGCGGTCGCAGGACCAAGGTGCATACGCACGGAGTACGCCGAGGAATGTTTATGTCCGTCCTTTCCGGCCGATTCCGTTTTTACGAGCGCCGTCGAAGCTCACGTGTATTTATAGTCACCAACACCGCCCTCGCCGCCGTAATGGGCCCATGTCCCGTCGACAACCGATTGTATTATGTTTACATTCCCGAGCACGTTCCGGCGGAAGGCAAAACAAACGCGCTAAAAACCCGGTTCGGAGATATCGAACGCAGAAACATCGGTCCGTATGTCTACATTGTGTTTAACATTGAAGCCCCTTGTATATGTTCTATGCACATATTTACATAATTAACATGCATACTATCATTACGCTACGACTGTGTTGATATTTGCTCCAGACGGTGAAATACAATCCATCCATGTACCGTCGAGTGAATGCGGAAAACAAATTTTTGGGAAGGGTTTTTAGAAAAATTTAAACCAACGATAACGGTCTGCGTTTTGCTTTATATGTTACACAAATCCTATTATCATCGTCAATCGAGTAAACAAAAATATCTACTTTATTGGAACTTATGTGTGTGTACGTCAATGAAAGATATCCAAAGTGAATTAAATGTTCAAGTATTTTTCTAACAAGTCGTCTAGGGGGATGCGATTTGATTCAGTTAACCTAAAGTTCATTTGGAAGTTTATTGGACTTAAAACGAAATAAAAATTTAAAAAATAAACCCTCATCGAGTGATACAAATTTTCCTAAATGTCCTCAATTATTTGTAGGACGTTTTCACAAATATTCCGATCGTCATCACATTCCGTCCCCGTCACTTGGTCAGTAAACGCTGCAGTTTAAAACGTTGATAAAACTAAATAAAATCGAAGAAAATCTTTGGACTGTTAACGTTTGAAGTTTAAACAGAAACGATGAACGGAGAGATTTTCGTATTCGTTCGAATAACGATACCATCGTCCGTGCAGTTATCATGTAGTAGTCAAGGCCGGATTAAGGGGCGGCTTAGCCCCGGAGCCCTCTCGAGTACCCAAGTGAAAGGGACCCAAACCATTTTAAGCCGATACAAATTTTTTATCATACTAAAATTAGTAGTTTTATAGACATAAATTGTATATACCTATTAATTTTATAATGCAATTGACAATTTATGAAATAGTTAAAAAAATGTATCGTTCTGCGAGCGTAGCGAGCACCTTTTTAAAGCATGTTTTGTCAAAAGGGCCCATATAAAATTTCAGCCCCGAGGCCCAATAGGCGCTTAATTCGACCTTGGTAGTAGTAGTTATCATATACCGTGCGGTTATCGTGTTAAGTTACTCTGTCGTCGTCGTTACGCACAAGCGAGCCCGACAGCGGCCAGTGGACGTGGTGTCATTAGCTGCTAAGATTAGAACTGGACCGCGCCAACGGGAGAGAGGCGATGCCGCCGACGCACGAGATGACGTCGTCGCCCCGCGGCAGCGCGAGCGCGTCCGGTGCAATACAACACCGATAATGCGCTACTATAATATTACCGTCATCGCCGTCCGCGCGCGTTACCGGCTCCGTACGACCGGAAAACCGTCGTCGGTACCAAGTTCACCACCGACCACATACCAGGGTTTCGTCGCGTTCCGGTCCACCGTCGCGCGGTCCGACAAGACTGTAGACATCGTTTAGGCAACACCACCGTTTTTCGTACACCGTTCGGTGACACGCCTTCGTTGCAGCAACAGCAGCCCATCCGTACGGTAAGATTGTGTGCGTGTGTGTTTCCGTTTGTAAATCTCTCATCGCGTGCGAACCACAGATATATTAATTTGTCCACGTCGTCAACGAGTGTACAACCGTTGATAAATCGTATGATACGTATGATACTGTTTTTTGTCGACGTTTCACTCGTCAAGAGCTGGTCGTTTTGTTCGTTATCGGTGCAATTTGTTAATGTTTCGGTAAAACCGTCTCTCGTTCTGATAATTGCAGTACCGACATCTATTTCCACTATTTTTACCGAAAATCCGAATAATAGCGGTCCATATTCAAAATATTACGTGGTTGTACCTGTACTGTACTCGGTTAGTGCTGATTTTTATCATAGAAACATTTGAACAGTTCCCCCCCTCTCCCCCCGAAAATTGTACGCCGCGCGCACCCGACTGCGGTCTGTGCAATCGTGCACGGTTTCACGGTCCGTCGTTTTCACTGCGGCGTCTGATCACGATCTCCAGCGCGATCAATGTGTATCAATGGTCGCCGGGCCACAGACCGACCCTATATAAACTTGGACGATAATTACGATAATAATATCGAAACCATTCGGGCGACCGTTATCCCTCGACTACTCAATGCACCGGCCCTGTTACACCGATGCCGCCGCTGCGGCGATCGTTATAAACATGTAAATCGTCCGACTGCGCTTGTATAAATAGAACCGTCCCATTATCTCGACGTTATGCACTGTGCGACGAATAAATATTCCTTTACTATGATTAGTATTTTCGTACAACTGGCATGAGCTTTCGGCAAGACGGCAGAGACCTTTTACATCAAATATTATATTTTGTCGGACCAATACGAGAGACACTTGAAAATTCCGAGTTGTGAGCCCTCGAATTTATTTTATACATAAAACGAATAATAGAATATTCCATAATATTATCGTTATGAACCCGCATAGTACAAAAACATCACAGAAATATCCTACGCAGCTGCTATATATTTTTATTTTTATTTTTTTAGAAACGCGCGCATGTCCTTTTTCACCCTTTTACGGTAGTCGGGATAAAACGCTGAACAATGAAAAAAAACTCCTAATGTATATGAAAAATATTTTTTCGTTTATTTCCCTTGCAAGAAAAAAAAACTAAACTTTCAATACTAGATTTTAGAATCTAAACACGTAATCAAGTTTATTGTAATTTTATTGCATCAAAATTCGTTCATTCGATTGAGTTGAATTTTATTTTTCTATATTTATCGATGTATATACATATGTATTTTTTTGGCTCATTTCATGAGAATATACGAAACAATACGTACAACACATAGTCATCCAAAACACTCGAAAAGTGTTAAGCTAATTGTTAATGTGTAAACATTATTTTCACCCAAATATTTTTGGCAATCATAGAAGTTTGTAAGTACCTATCGTTTTCTAAGTATTGTGTATTTTAATTTCTTATCGAAGCCAGAAATATTTACAATTAATTTTCTAAGACCAAACTTTCTGGTAGTAAACCTTAACCTATAATTAAAACAGAGGTTAGAAATGTACTTAAGAGTTTTTATATTTTCAGTATTTTTTCAGTATGAAAAAAAAAATAAGTAAATAAAATAAAAAATAATTTTAAATTTAAATGTAATGTATTACATATTATTACGACCTTTAAGAATATATTTCAGGATACGATGATTTGATTCGTAAAAATTTTACACTGCAACCTTGTTAAAAACTAACTGTTATATTAACTAGTTCCCGGTTCACGGAATGATAATTAATGATCGTAATTGTATTTATTGGCCATATGCTACAAATGATGATGAGTTTATTTCTTCTTTTCCCACAAAAGCAATCGTTAGCGAAAGCAAGCCGTATATTATACGGATGGTCGTTTAGGAGAAGGCACGTTCACAAATTACAAGGTTCGAGAATCCTAGTAAACTACAGTGAACAATTACAGTATCGGTGAAAAAAATAACGTTTTTCTTTGGTTACAACACATATACGCGTTTCAAATTGAACTCAAGACGTATAATCCCTCCATTCCAAAAAGTTTAATATAAAATAATAAAAGGTCATAACCAACGTACACGTATACCGAACGTCAGAAATTAATCATTGTCTTAATTTATGTCTTCTCTTCAGATTTGAGTGGTACTCGTGTTTATGGATGTTTAATTAAAAATCGTGATTTATTGTAACTGCTAATTAAATACCGTTGTTTCTGTTGGATACGCACGGCGTGTATATATATTATAAAGTTTCATTTGTGAACGATCAAATAGTATAAATTATTATATATACACCTCTTCTCACTGTGTGCGTGTTTTATATCATGTCGGATTTGTCGTTGTTTACATTATTTTCCGATACTGAATCCTTATTCCGTTTAGATACGACTCGTAGATTCAATTGTGCGTGTTGCACGCGGAAAATATTTCGTGCGTTATTTGATTTCGATCGAAGCGTCTATATTTTCACCCTAACGATATTATAAGGGTTTCCACCGTTCCCCACGTGTAACTACTCCAAGCGCCAACCCTCATAGCCTTATATAATAACAACAATAATAATAGTAAATAACTTTGTAGGAGGATTTATTTATTTTTCCTTTTTTTATCTCCAAGACTATCTAGCATATTACGAGATAGATTTCGAGTATATATTTATATAGTAATATCACGTGTTCTTTCTGATGTTGAAGTTATTTTCACGGCAATATAAAAGTAGGAAGTTGTATAACATTTTATTCGCTTGGAATATAAAAAGAAAATATGTGGCACTTATCGGAATCTGGTAAAATTGATAAAACATTATAATGAAATTAAATTTTAAAATCGACCATATAAACAAGAAGTATAGAAGTATAATTACTGAATATGTCGTAGTGGCCACATTATATTGTTATTGTTGC